GCGAGCAGAGAGAGCGAGAGAGAGAGCCAAAGAGAGAGGGAGGGAGAGAAAGAGAGAGACAGAGAGAGATAGAGAGAGAGAGAGAGTGCGCGCGCGCGCCCGCGCTCCTTTCCTCTATGCCGACGGGGCGAGCAGGGAGAGCAGGCGCGCGGCGTTCGTGACGGCGAGAGTGGCGCGCGCGGCTGCGGGGCGGATGGATGGCCCCGGCATGGAGGAGGAGGTGGAGGCTCCGCTCCCTCGCGTCCAGACGCGGCGACGCAAGAGCCGTTGCCTGGCCGGCACGCCGCTCGCGCACGTCCCCTGCGAGGACGAGTTCGACTGCCGCGAGCTCGAAGGCCTCTTCCAGAAGTACAACCTGAAGCTGGAGCAGACCGCCACGCTCAAGGCGCTCGCCGTGCTCATCGTGGCTGCGTCGGCGCTCGCGCTCGTCGAGCTGCTGTCGGCGGGCTCGCGCTTCACCGTGTCGGCGGGCTCGCACCCCGTGCACTGCGTCATCTTCGCCTCACTCTTCATCGTGGCCAACGTCAAGTACCTGCAAGTGACGCAGCTGCAGCAGATCGCGCGCCTCGCGCTCCTCTTCAGCTTCACCTTCGCGCTCCTCTGCTGCCCCATCCCGATGGCGCTGGCGCGCGCGCCCCGGCCGGACGATGCGGCTGCAGCGGCGGCGGTGACGGCGCCCGCGGCTTCGCCCGAGCAGGGCGTGTGGCAGCTCATGCTCGTCACGTTCGTGGCGTACTCGCTGTTGCCCGTGCGCACGCTGCTGGCCGTGCTCTTCGGCGTGCTGGTGGCCGCGTCCCACTTCATCGTGACGGCGACGTCGGTGACGACGCACAGGCCGCGCGTCTGGACCCCGGTAAGCCCCCCCACCCCTCTGAGCGGCGTCTTCACTTTTATCTTTAATTACTTGTAGCAAAAAACACTTTGACGTGCTTTGATCAGTGATCTCGCTTTCTGCTGTGGAGACGTGGAATCTGGTCTGTTGCGCATGGCCGTCAGTGTTTGTGTTTATACTTAGTGCCCGCGGTGCACGTGCATCAAGACGGCCAGTGTGTGTGTGTGTGTCTGTGTGTGTGTGTGTGTGTGTGTGTGAAAGTATAGAGGTGGGGGGTATGGGGTGGTGTGTGCATGCGCTTGACAGTTTGGGTTCAGCACTGTGCCAAGTGCGAGCGCACGGAAACCCCCATGCACAAGCCCATCCAGTCGTTCGTGAGACTTTAAACACTCAGAACGATTTCTATGGACTTACAGCGACCAAAAATGCACTTTAACCCCCCTCATCTCCATTAAGATCAGGGAACCAAGACCACCCCCCCGAATCCCCAAATCCCCAGGACACTGTTACTCACAGTCTGACACCCAGTCCTTATCACTCACTCAGTGTCTGCGCGCTAAACTCGACCTTGCAGGCTGCTCGTTGGCCGCGCGATCACGAGCTCCCCCGTGGGCATCAGAATCAAATCGATGATGGTGTGACCGCGCGCGGCTCTGGCGTCTCTGTCCAGCCTGGATTATGTAAAGTCCCAGTGTCTGTTCTGACCTTAAGCACAAGGCAAGGCCACGGCCATCACATCTCATCCACTCTGTATGTGGGATGCCGAGGCTCCACCACTGTTTCATAAGCCCTAAGCTGTTTATCTGACACTCTCTCCGCTGTGAATTTAAGAGTGCATGGAGACACAGGCACACTATGAAGTTTATAAATAAATTATAAAAAAGTTCTCATATGATGTTCATAAGGTGATCACATAATTAAAAGTAGTTGTTAATAAAGCATTAGAGAAGTACTGATGGGATACTGCAAGTTTTGAGATGAGTTTAAAGGAATAAAGTCTTTACAGATTATCCGTATCAACCACATATCAGTGAAGTAGCAGCAGTGAAGCATCTGAATACACTGAAGTAAATGTCTTGTAGATGTTCTGTTGATACATTACTTACATTAAGTAGATGTGTTGTTAATATGTAATATGTTACTTTCATTACAGAAAACTTAACCTTACCCAACCTTACCCAAAACCTAACCCTCACCCTGGCCCTAATCCTAACCCTAACCTTAACCTCAACCCAAAGCCTAACCCTAACCCTCATGTTTGTGACATGTTACTGAGAGTTTGTTGAGTGTTTGTTTCATCTGTTACCAATGATTGTGATGCATTTTCCTGCCAATGGACAGTTGCAGATACACCTTCTATCATAAGTGTATATTGACAGAAATTATGTACAAAGAAATTATTGTCCATAGTAATGCTGCAAATGCTGCAGATAGAGGCCAGCTGGGGGAGTCCTTTAATATAATGGACCATAAACTGTATCAGATTGCTAGATGAAGCAGCTATTATTTTGTTTGCTTGTAATAATGGCATAACTACCTCATAAAAAGTGCATTGAAATTTAGAGTTTTTATGGTCTCCTGCAGAGTTATGTGTTGGGGTGGGATTGGTGGTTTCAAAGTGGAACTTCACAAAAAATGGGAACATCCCTCGCTCATTACATTTATACCTAATATGTGTTGTGCTTATGATGAACATCCTGAAACTGAAGTGTCTACTTAGGTCCATGCTTAATGTTGACAATGTTGTCAGAATCAGTGCTTTAACTAAAATCTCTTCATTTTAAGAATATTTTGCATTTATACATTTATATTGTCACTGTCTTAAAAATTATCTCTATTTTTTTGCTGTTTTTCTTTTTTTTTTACTTAATTGGACAATAACAGCCCGGCCTTTACAAAGTGTGAAAATTTAATGAAGGACCAGTAGAAATGATCCAGAATAGCTTGGAACTTGGAATGAAGTCTTTTTATATTTACTTCTTTTTAAAGTTATGAATGTTTTTTCATTCTTCTGTACAGATACACTTTTTTATACAACAACGATTATATTTATGATTAATTGATGTTTACTTTCTGAATAGAATCAATTAACAGCAATATCATTTTGTGCTACTTTTTACTTTTGAATTTTCAGGGCATTCCTGGTTCACATTGTAACACATTAACACTCTAAATCTTTGAAACTTGCAAGGGAAACAAATGAATTCACCACTGTTGTTTATCAAAAGCAGCTGAATTCCTGTTCACTTGTCTCCAGTGTCTAAAAGCTCTTACACCATTGGGACTGAGCACATTCTTAGTCCTGACATTCAGAATTGACAGTGGCCGTTCTGTGTCTTTTTTCTCCTTATGTCGATAAGGTTAAAGGTGTTACCCCATCTACAACTGCAGATCAATAACCAATGCCCTTTACACAATCAGCCCACTGCACTCTTTAGTCTGACCTGCCAGGCCACCGACTGAGTGCTTGTGATAATGAATGGCTTCTCTCTATATGCTTTCACTCTCTGAGGCCTCTTATGGTCATTTTATCAAGGCGTTGGGTGGAATTTGAAAATTTAGTATATGAATGGCTATTGACTAGTCAAGATGGGCTGTGTTTATTGTAAGCCTTGTGAACAAAATACAGGCCAGAAGAAGGCAAGCCTGTCAGCCTAATATTATCTCAGACCATTTTGCTTTCTGAAAAAGAAGCCAAACTGCTAACTGATTTGACCTTTCTTTGATGCTGAGGGAAAAGGTGGCTATTTATGCCTTTTTATCTACTGTTCTCCTTTAATAGCATGAATTGTTAATGTCACATTAATTTGATATGTAAAACGTGTCACAAATGACTAGTTTGAGCAGGAAAAATACATATAAAAATATTTCACACTACACTCGCCTTTATTGCTACTATGATGAAACAATTCAATAAGCTCTTAGTGATCTGAACTCCCTTCTCAATGTGTGCGAGTGCACACTCACTCTATTGCAGTGTATCCATCAAAACAGCACCATGCTTCTCTTATATCATGGTAGAAAGCATGGTAGCACACAGAAAGCTCTGCTTCCACATGCTGATCCATTTTTACAATTCTAAAAGTACGCATATGTAGCTGTCAGAATGAAACTGTTACGAAAAATGTTCAAAATGATTAAAGAAGTTAATGTAAAAATATTGTTTTTCACATGTAATTTTGAACTGTTTCTGTAAGTCTATACATTGTGAAATTTTCTTACAATGTAAAGAGCAGCTGTTTTGACAATGCCAAAAATTCTGTATATTGCTAGCAATATGTTAGGTAAGATAGGGTTGAAGTAGTGTGTTTAACTTGTTAGTTCATGTTCTTGGCTGTTTTAATCACGGTTCATTGTGTCATTCAGAAAACAAAACTCTTATTTCTCTGTATTCTTTGTTCAAATCAGGAGTAGAGAAAAATAATATTAGCCAGTGGTATCATAGTATGTTTCCCCTGCCACCACCCCCACCAATCCCCGAGCAAAAACACCAGTCATTACCTCCACTCCCGGCTGCACATGAAGCTGTACATACTACCAGGATACCGTAAACCCCCCTCCAATGTGGGTGCTGGAGGTGTTGTAGAATGCAAGTAGTCCTCCAGGACTGACTGTAGACTAGTGCCTGGGTTTGATTTGATGTTCTTTCTGGAACACCCTGTATTTCATGATCTCATAAGACCTCACTACAGTGTTTCCCACCCGAATATCCTGTTTCTTTTGGAAGCTCAGAAAGGAATAAAAATGTGTTCTGGTTTCCAATTCATGTTGACTTGAAACTCATCAAGGCAAATGGTGAGCTCCCCGTGGAGCTATTAAACGTAGTGATGTGCGGGTTTGTATCAGGATATGTGCTAAAGCTAGTTGTCTCAGATTGAACTGATGAGAAATGAACCCAGTAACCCCTATCTATGCATATAAGCACCCCCCTCCTATCTGTCTCTTTCTCTAATTCTACACCACTTTCTCGCTCTAGCCCACCCTTTTGTTAAAATTCACCCCTCCCTTCCCCTTTCCACACATCTATCTTTCTCTTACACCTCCCACCCCTCATCTGAAAGCTGGTATTCTGGTGCTGAATGCTGATTAAATGTCATGTACACACACGTATGCAGACAGATGACCCTGTTTTTCTCTGTGTGTGTGTTTGTAGCTGGTGGCGAACACGGCGCTGCTGGTTGGTGTGAACCTGTCTGGTGTGTTTGTGCGGGTCCTTACTGAGCGCGCCCAGAGGAAGGCCTTTCTACAGGCCAGGAACTGCATCCAAGAGCGCCTGCAGCTGGAAGATGAAAATGAAAAACAGGTCACACACAAACATATACACACACACACACACACACACACACACACATACACAGATACACACAGAAACATGCATGTGAGACCAAGACACCTGCGCACATGTCTCAAATCAAGTAATCAGGTATCTCATTTTCTCCTTCAAGTTAAAAAGTCACAATTTTGACAGGCAATTACCTCCCAAGATTACATTTATTCCCCCCCGACTGCCTTAAAGGTCAACCTTTATCTGCAAACACACACACACACATCAATACACGCACACACACACACATTGTGATTGAGATCTGAGGTGCAAGGTTAGTGGGCTCACTGAATTAGCATTCTGATCAAATGCAGCTATAAGGCCATTAAAGGGCCCATATCATGGAAAACTAACTTTTACTCAGTTTTTTGTATAAAAAGAGCTTGATGTTGTATGTAAACATGTTCAGTTTCAAAATGTATTATTCACTCTATGGGCCATACAGTCCATAAATGCAAACTAACATGCAAGAACAGCTTGTTTTAAATTCATTGTAGTTGTGATGTCATGAAAAGCAGTTATTGTTGCTGTCAAAAAAACCCAAAAAACTAAACAACAAAAACAACAACAACAACAACAAAAAACAAATCACTTATATAGTGACTTAACAGGAGAAGGAAAAAAAAATCAAATTCTTTATTGTAAATTAATGTTATGATGTTTCATTCCAAGTGGTTTTGGGCATTTTTATTTGTTCATTCATCATGAAATATTTACAAAATGTAAAGAACAGCTGCCATGTTCAAATGGTGTAAAAAAAAATTAAAATTGACAAATGGGGATAAATGTTTTTTGAATAGTGACGGTATATTGGGCATTTAGCCTATAGCAGTTTAGCCCTGCCCATTCGCAACTAAGTTATAAGCAGCATTTTAGCCTGGCGGCCATTCAGTGCAGAGTTAATTTGCATAATGATGCTCTTGGAATGAAACCTCATATCTCTAAAAAAGTAGTTTTCCAGTAGGAGGATGAAACATTCTTAAATTTCAGTATGGTTATTAAGTGTTTTAAGATATAAAGGTCATTTTGAATAATTTATGTTGGCTCATGATTCATGAAATTTTGACACTGGCTAGCATTTTCAAATTATTAAAATAAATAAGTATATATATATATATATATATATATATATATAAAAAAAAGCGATAATATATTGTATCAACACTGTCTGCTGTTTTGATATTTATCCGGAAAAACATGAAAGACTCCTCTGTTCACTCAAACTCCTCAAAATAAACAGTACTTTGAGGAGTTTAAGTGAATAGAGGAGTCTTTCATGTCATAAATAACATGGGATTGATTGGTCACTGATGCTCCATGTGACTAGGGTTGCTCAATTAATGCAAACATCACAGTCACGATTACTTTAGTCAATACTGAGATCATGATTATTTAACACGACTACTTACTGACTTTGGAAACATCATGCATTTATTGAACTTTAAAAAAAACAACTTTTTAACAGATTCAATTTTGGATGATTAAACAAATTGGTTATATTGCCTTATGTTGAAGACACCACTGTGTAGCAAATCTTGTACAGTATTTGTTGTTGTTCCTTGTTGGACTCCTTAAAGCCAAAGTGTTTCCAAACAGCTGAATTGGTCTCACCTTTCTTGTTGACCAAAGACTCTCTTTCTTTTATCTTGGCTTGAGCTAAATTGAACATGCCACAGCCTGACTGAAAGTAAGTTTGGGCTTTTTGGGGGGAGTGCGGGGATGGGGGGGGGTGGCGAAAGCGCATCGCTGTAAAGGAAAGGGGTGCATTGGCTTTATAACGCAAGACAAATCGAGAACATTATTGTGAAACAGAACGGGACACAATGATCATTTTATCTTGAATAGCTTGTTGTCATAATCGTTGGAAGCCAAAATCATAAGTCACAACAAAGACCCAGTTTACACCTGGTCACTTCATACATCAGGAGCATCAGGATTATATCTGGATAAGGCCAATTGACATAAAAATGCAAGTGTAAATGCTCCCAAAACACATTTAAAGCAGATGCTAATCTGATTGCTCAAACCTCTTCTAGAGGTGGTCTGAGACGCATTAGAGCCACATGTTATAGCAGTGTGAACTGGGTGTGATCCGTGTCTGTGAGGAAGATACTCATGGAGGACACACATGGTTGGGGACCAGATGAAATGAAATGCTTAATAGTAATATGGACGAACAGCAGACAAAGAGGCTCAATGGACAAACAATTGATAATTGGTTGCCATGTAACGAGCGGATTTGCATATTCCAACTAACAGGACACGCAATTGACTATCAAGTGTAAATGCATGTGCCTAAAATCTAATCAGGACACAATCCAGATACTAATCAGGCGAAAACTCTTAAAAATGATGGTTCTTCAAGGGTTCTTTGGTAAAGAAAATGGACACTCAAAGAACTCTTTGCATGATTAAAGGGTTCTTTGCATCATAAAAGCGTTCATTAGATCGTTTGAGAATTTGCTGTAGATGGTTCTACATAGAAAACTTCTTAAAAATGGTTCTAAGTAGCAGCAAAAAGGGTTCTTTGATTGTTATGATGTCAAGCTTGTAATAATAGAAGAACCATTTTTGGTGCTGTATAGAACCCTTTTCAAAAAGGTTCTGTATAGAACCACACACAACACGTTCTCCACCTGAAGAACCCTTTTATGATGCAAAGAACCTTTTAATCATGCAAAGGGTTCTTTGAGTGTTCATGATTCTATATAGAGCCATTTTCTTTACTAAAGAACCCGTGAAGAACCAGCATTTTTTTTTTCATCATTAAGTGTGAAGTGACCAAAGATAAACAGGGTCGAAATGGTTTGATGTGATCAGAATCCAGAAGTGAAGCACTGACCTGCTTTTGCTGACATGTGCCATTACGTTAGTTCATAGTCTTTTCCTTTTCCTCATCAAATTAATCATCAAAGGATTTTTCTAAAATATTTATCACAACATGGAGATCAGACAAACAGTTTATTATAGTTCAGTATATTTCAGTAACAAACAGTTGGAACAAAACCTGCCATGCAATAAACAAATTATGTTGGCGTTATCTCTGTTAGTAGCATTGTTTGTTTTTGTAATATTGATTTAAGTGGTTAGATATACAGTTGTATGCAAAAGTGTGGGCACCCCTGGTCAGATTACATTTTAATCACGAATAATAATACGAATAATAACACATTCTCTACAGAGAACACAGTTCTGCAGATTTTAATACATAATTATTGTTTATTGGCTGAATTTAATGCATTGGAAAAAAAAGTATAACATAAAGCTAAAATAAATCTGCAAAACCTAAGGCATATTTTATATTTGATGTTTTTTTGAATATGATAAAATGATAAATAAATGAAAATCATGGACTGATATTTGAAGAGCAAATTTCATATTTAAGTGTATTCTCTGCAGAGGTAGTGTTCCCTTATTTTTACTTAGAAAATCAACAAAATATGTGATTTGACCGGGGCACCCAAACTTTTGCATATGGCTGTATGTCAGTGTGGTAACTCTAACTGCAGGTGTACTTTTTCACCTCATTTTAGGTTTTATGTTGAGGCCTTAGCCCCTCAACGTTGGTCTCCCCACTAATCAGACCAAATTTTCACCACTGGCTATAACTTTAAGACACCCTGCAGCATTACAGGAGAACCAGAATGTATAACTCATACAACAAATTATAGAACAGAAAAAGATCTGTTCATTTTTAACCATAACGATGGAAAAGACTGAACAAAGCAGACTTTTAAGAAGGTGATTTTTCATAAACATATTGATCCCACACACCAATCAGTTGCTTGTCATTGAAAATTTGAACCCGAGCTACCTCTTTATAGCGTTGCGATGGATTGACACGGACCGATTTATTAATTAAGTAGAACGAAGTGAGAAATGAAGAGGAGATGAAATACGTGTTCTTTCCAACTACACTAGAGATGACACTTTCTCCTTGTTCCTTAGCGACTGAAATTGGTTATAATTGTTTGCACATGACTCATTCACCTCCTACCTAACAAACTCCCCGAATAGAAGGTAACACCACCCACTCTATACGTTAACACACACTCACAACACACATACACACACAAAAACTAAACACCTTCATCAATATAAGCTAGTGCACAGGCCTACTCAGCTTTGCAATTGCTTTTCCTCTCATAACAACATCTGTCCCCTAAGACCAGCAGTGTTCATTAGGTGGATACTCAGCAGATTAATGTAGCAGTAAAGTGCTCTACAAGGAAAACAGCCAGAAAAGTTTGCTAAGTGTTTCAAATTGTCAAACTTGTGTACTAGCAATGAGAAATGTTTGTGTTTGAAAAGTCCAGAATGATCAGAATTAACAATGATCAATACTCTATAGTAAAGCATTCAAGATCTATATTTAAAACTATATTTTTTATATTCAACTCTATAGTAAAGTATTCAAAACTCATCCCCCCCAGTAACTGTCCTCTTGGCTAATTTTGTTTTTTTGAAATCTGCATCACTTTCATTGTTTTCAGACATTATTCTCCTTTTCTGTGTACCTTAATAAATATATCTTACAAAAAAGGTTATTTAATAATTGTTTAAATTTTCTGTATGATGAAATTATTAAGATGTTAACAAAGTCATTCAGAGTGGTTTGATGTTAAATGTTCCATTCAAGAGAAACTTATAGAGTCAGAATTGTTCCTAGTCATGGTGGTAGGAACCAGGCATCTGAAGTGTTCAGTCCCTTTAAAAGTTCCTTCACAGAAGGTTATTATATGTAAAGTGGTTACAGATACAACACCTGTTTTAGTTTTGTGATGAGGGTTTTGGACTAAAACTTAAAAATTCAAAAAAAAATATAATAATAACAATAATAAAAATTGGTGGGAAAAAGTTTGTGTAATTACTTTTCAACCCCTTAAAATCCCAGATTTATTACATACTAAGGCTTATTATTCAGTAACCACAGGGACTTCAGTGCAAACTGACAGAGCTATTCTTGTGTGTGTTGGCCTGCTGGAGGGCCCTGGCCATTTAAGGGGTTAACTGCAATCAAGAGGACTATGGTCCGGTTTTGGAAACTCATCAGAAAGAAAAAACACACCCACAGCACAAAAGTTGTTTTTTTATGAAAAGACATATTTATAAAAACAGGAATCTACTCTGGCTTGATGTCCTAGTAAAGACACTGGGCCTGACACTGATTAAAATGTTTCAGCTTACATGAGCTACATTAGCTAGCTAGCATGCACAAAGCAATAGAGCACATACAAATCTTTGGGTTAATAAAGAGATGTCATGTTTGTTGTTCTAAAATGAGTAAAGAGAAAAAAATAATCTGGTTAAATAAGCACAGTTATGTAGCTCAGTTAGCTGTCCAGCTAGTTGTATTCTCAGGTTAGAAGTTAAATTAAATTACAATGATTTACAAAAGAATAGTCACAGGAAAAAAACTAGCTGTAGCTAATTTGTTTCCACCTCTATTAAGAAATAAAAAGAGTAGAATTTAGCCCTAATAAATACAGCAGTAAGTACTGTGCAAATAATGTACAAATAGGTGTTTAAAATAATGGTGTTCCCAACAGGATGAAAGCTACACTGACTATTTCTCAACACACACACACACACACACAAAAATATATTTATATATATATATATATATATAACTCATACCAGTTTCTCTCATCCACTCTGTTAGTGTTGGTCTTTGCTTTTTGTTTTCCTACTGCATCAGCAATGTCACACAGGATTATGGGACGTATAAGGCAGTGAACAATACTTATTTACACTGCCAACACATCTTAGATGTGCAGGACTGGGTGTCCTTCCTTCCTCTAAACACTGCCTGAGTAGACAGCCTTGTTTCATTTCAGACAGACATTCTTTTAGTGTAGCAAAACAAATGTGTTCTAAAGGTTTTGTGAGCAGAGAAAATCAGTGTGAAACTGAAGGAAAATTTGCTGAAGTTAAGAGAGAAGTAAAGCAAGACTCATTGACACTTAATAGTGGAGGACTAGACAGATAAAGGGAAGAGAGCTCTGTCCATAAATGCTTTGAAATGGTCAGGGTTTGTATGGTGTTTGTGTAGAGTTAGATGTGGTTGAGGAAAACATAACCATCAAATGTCTAATGTTTTACAGTCATTTTTTGATATTTTACAAAAATTTAAATACAAAGCATTTTGGATATTAATTTTATTATAACTGAATTCTTAATACTTCGCCTTTCACAGTCACTTTAGAATCACTGTTTATCATCAGTAAACAATATCTTATTTATTTATTTATTTACAGCTTCACTCTAAGAAACCTGTAAAGATGCACGCTACCGGCATCATTTTAGAATTAGTTTGTGTCTCTGCAACACAACTGGCTTCATGTTAGTGAAAACATTGATTCTAAACTCTTAAAGGCTGATACAAAATTTTGAATGGCAGAGATGGATCATAATTCATGGTCTTACTTAGCCACTGGTCATAAGTATCTTTGGAGGGTCCTCTGTCCCCACACTCCGACAATAACGTGAAAGTGTTAAATAAATAAATAAATAAATAAATAAATAAGATGGTGTTGTTATGTACAGTTCAAACAATGCTGAAATAATTTAATGTAAACAATCAAAATTATTAATTTTCACTGAAGGTGCAGTAGCCCATTATTTCCTTTGCAGTTATATTTCTAGTGTTAGGAGGTTTTTTAAATTATTTTACATATGCTGGCAGAGTATTGGCCATGGAGCCTTCTTTCATTTATTTACATACACACACACACACACACACACACACACACATTTTCTAAGCCGATTATCCTTCTGGGTCGTGGGGGTGGCTGGAGCCTATCCCAGCAGTAATTGGATGGCAGTCTTTCATTTATTTAGCCATTACATATTAAAAGGCTATTTATAGATCTAGTTTTGCACCTACAGTGGAATGTCCCCAGTGTTTTAGCTGCCATGTAGCCCCCGGGCACTGGCCCAACTGATCCAGTCAGTAATCCATCCCTGCTGAATGGTAGTGTCTGTGTACAAGAGGTGGTTTCACTCTGTAATCTTACAGAAAAAAAGTGTTTAACTTGAAGGTAAAGGAAGGGATGTGCAGACCATTGGTGATCACAGATTTGAAAAAAAACATGGAAGATAACATGACATTTTGGTCAGTTTAATTTTTTTTTTCTTTTCACCGAATGTTACTGGACACTTTCATAAATTCTACTATTTTAGAGTTTCAAGAGGAAAGTTTAGAGCCTCAAAGCCACGTGTAAACAGACTTTTTGGATCTCTCTGGTGGTGTTTTTTTCATGTGAGAGTGTGTATTACAGTGTTTTGTCTCCAGCTGGTTGTGTATCAGAAAAACAATTACACTAATCTGTAAAGGCCATCAAAACCAAACACAAATACCGTCTGCAGCTCAGGTTAGCTTCAAACAGCCTTTAATGTCTCTTAGAGCAGGTGTCCTGACTCACTGGTAGCAGCATGCTTAATCAAGAAGACATTTATCACCTGCTTTTAGTAACGCGTGGTTGATGATGAACTGTATGCGTTTCCACGGAAACTTACCTCTGCCATGCCAACCAACTCCAGTGCCGAGCTGTGATCTCCCACTGATATCGCCCACTTAGCAGCAATCAGAAAGTTAACGAGCCAACCCTCATCAGCCCACAAACACATGTACCCCAGATCAGTCCAACACAATTCAAACAGGTTTTTATGAAACAGAGAGTATAGATGGATAGATGGATGGATGGATGGATGGATGGGTAGCTAGATGGGTAGATGGATAGATGTTTTGATGAATGGGTGCATGCATGGATGGATGGATGGATGGATGGTTTGATGAATGGGTGCATACATGTATGGATGGATGAATGGATGGATAGATGGATAGATGGGTAGATGGATAAATAGCTTGATGAATGGTTGGATGGATGAATAGATAGATGGATGAATGGATGAACTGATGGATGAATAAATGGATAGATAGATGAATGGATGCTAGATGATGCATAGATGGATGGATAGATGGATGGATGGGTGGACAGATGGATAGATGGGTAGATGGATAAATGGCTTAATAAATGGTTGGATGGATGAATGAATGAATGAATTGAGGGATGAGTGGATGAATTGATAGATGAATGAATGGATAGATAGATGAATAGATGACAAATGGATGCTAGATGATGTATAGATGGGTGGATGGATGGATGGATGGATAAGCTAGATGCATGTACTGATGAGTGGATAGATGGATGGGTAGAGAGGTATGTGTCTTGATCAATGGATGGATAAATAGGTAAGTAAATGGATGGATGGATGGATGGATCTAATTACTTGAGCAGAAGTAATAAACGTCTAATTAATCACCATTAATAGGCAACAAAGTGTATGATTTTGCTTTACTCAACATTTTGTGTTGAAACTTTGTTGGGGGTGTTTTTTACACTTACAACAATAAGAATGTTCAACAAAACATCTAAGAAGGCAAATAACTGCTTCTACTACTGCCAATAATAATAATAATAATAATAATAATAATAATAACAATAATAATAATAATATGATGATGATGATGATGATGAAACCACCTGTCCAGGGTGTATCCTGCCTTCCGCCCAATGACAGCTGGGATAGGCTCCAGCACCTCACCGCGAACCAGAAGGATAAGCGGTTTAGATGATGGATGGATGGATGATGAAACCATGTCAGACTATTTAGATAACCATTTACAGGGTTACTATACTGCAGGACTAAAATTCTGGGTTTTTGGTACTTTTTCTGCTCACAGCATGACATCAGTACTTACAAGTGTGACTCCACATGTCAGACAGTAATATAAAGTAATGAGTCTCTGTAAATAGCCTGCGGTGTCCATGTCAGTGGCATGTCGGCGGTGTAACGGTCTGTTTACTTTCTGTTTCTAAAACTAACTAAAAAAATCATTTTGTGGTTATAAATATTTTATTGCAGTTGCTCAGTTTGACTAATGGTTCTCTGGAGTAGACTATTGTAGCTCGACAGAGCTCACAAATGGATTTATTCCTGAATCACACTTTGCTGCTTCCGGTGTCAGGAAGTATAAAGTGTAGCATTTCTGTAAGGCCAGTAGTGAGAGTATGCCAGATAGATTGATAGACAGACAGAGAGGTTCAGAGATTGTTACAGGAATAAAATCGGATTATTCAACTTATTTCTAGACATTTAAAATTGTTTTTAGTAATTTTATATACTGAAATTATATACAATACCATTTATTGTTATTAAATAGCAGATCATTTAGCTTAAAGCAGGCAAAATTGTGTGCAAGTGTAATAAGACGATTTCAGGTAAACGTGTGTACTGGATTGGTCTATGCAGTGTAGCATATGAGCAGATGTGGAGGGTTCGAAAAAAGGTCAGTGCAATGGGAGGGGGATTGTTTATGCAAATCTGTATTTATCATTCCTCTTACAGGAACGCCTCCTAATGAGTCTGCTGCCCAGAAACGTTGCCATGGAGATGAAGGAGGACTTCCTTAAGCCACCAGAAAGAATCTTCCACAAGATCTACATCCAGCGGCATGACAATGTCAGGTACAGAGAGAGATAGAGAGAGAGAGAATGATTCACTGCCTTTTTCTGGTGGCCTGAAAGCCTACTTACAATACCTCAATACTGCACTCACCTCCTGAATGGGAGCTAATTGACAGTTCATTGAGTTTTTGCAGACTGGGCTATAGGTGTCAGCTCTATTGTGCTTAAATGGAAATTTGAACACTGAGTGTGTCAGCAGGAGTCAACAGCTCTCCACACACTCACGCGCACACTCCTGAGCCTGGCACTTAGCCAGCACATGCATAGCACCCAAAGCTATCGCTATCAACTGAAGAGCTGCTCAATTAACTCTCTATGCCCACACAAATGCATTGAGAGAGGGAGCTGAGGGTGTCATAACCTAGGCAGCACATAGGCCTGAAAATACACACATAGACTTACCAAAGAGACATGTCTAGGTCTGCCACGCCATGAAAGATGATTTATGCAAACATGTGCCCCTGCCCTGTGTTAGAGCTCCACACTAGGAACCTCCAGCAGCTGGAGAGTTGCTGACTTTATCCCAGGACTGGCATAAGGAATGCTGACCTTTTGCCACAGGGTATAAACTGAAGTATCCTTCCACTGACCACTACTGATATACCCTTGATCAAGGCACTTAAGATCAAGTTCCTCTGCAATATGGCATGGAAAACAGCAAGGACCCCGCAGCTTATTTCTACCGACTAGCCCGAGAATGGTTAAAGCCTGTTGATCCAGCACAGGCTGCAGATGTTTAGTCCGCAGGGTCCTCCTTCCATCCTTTACATTACAGTCACATGTTTAGTTCTTACAGAGATGACATTGAAAATGCCCTTTTGAAGTCTTGAATGTTTTTCCAGCAAATAAACTGGAGATTAGGGTTAATATGTTATGAAAATGTTCTGTCATGATATAAAAATGATCCATATGATCATATCATTGTTAAAATGTACTGAAGCACTGGGGAAAGCTGTACCAAGGGGTAAGTTGTAAAATCATAAATTAACATATGGGGTCATTAAATGCACACACATTGAATGTGTATGAAGTGTTTCCAAATAAACTAAAAGGTTCAATTTCAATGTTTCCTGCTTTGAACTTAAGCAATGATTAAACTGACATAAAGGAGAGAGAAGATAAATAAATACAAAACTTGAGAAATGCAGCTGAATAAGTTTTATAAGTTTAAAATGTCATAAATATTAAATATTTATCATATCAAGTATTTTGTGAGCATGTTGTATATTACTGTTTAATCCTAACAGGGCTAGGGGGAGGTGGGGGGCAATTGCACTGAGGCCCACAGAGCAGGAAGACCCATATTGACTGGGCCCCATAAACTGTTCAGCCCATCATATAGATGCTAACTTAATTTTACATTCATGACTCAAAGAAAGATCCAGTTTCTTAACAACATACCTTATCAGTCAGCTTCCATCAACACTACACACTCAGCCCTGAATCTTAAATAGGCAGTTTTAAGTGAACATTTAGGTTAATGTTAGATGCTAGTGGGTGAAATGTCATGCCTTGGAAGCATGTTTGAAATGGAATGACAGCCATTAAACAAGTAAATCACATTGTTATTTTTTCTTCATCACAGTCAAGGGGACATTATTATTAGGTTCAGTATTATTATCGGTATTGTTTTGTATTGGGGCCCATGAGATCCTAGTTACGCCACTGCACCTCACCTACTGTTGCAACCCACCATGGTCATGGGGCAGATTGTAACAGCAGAATGTGGGTATCTCACATCAAAGTTAGCACAAGCCAACACTGAATTATAGGGGCTAAGTGTTACAAACCCCCAGTCTTCTGTACATTTCACTTTTTTTTTTTAGAAAACAAATAATCACTAGCATTTCTACTGTTTACTGTTTAGATTATAACTATGTAAACCTGAGTTGTCCTGATATGTGCTGTGTAGGGAGACTGTAGAATGCTTATTTAGTTATACCGTGACTTAAAAAACCCAAATAATCATACTTGATTATCCGAATTATCAAAAATGTTACAGTCTGATGATCAATGGGTTTTTTTATGCTATAATGTATTATGTATTATGATAGCCACTCTACTGGTGAGCTAATGCTAGTTGAAGTTAGATAACTCCTCTGTTTTTCTTCCTTTCTAGCATCCTATTTGCAGACATTGTTGGCTTCACCAGCTTGGCTTCTCAGTGTACAGCTCAGGAGTTGGTGAAATTGCTGAATGAACTCTTCGGGAAGTTTGATGAGCTCGCCACAGTAAGTCTGTGCTGGTCGTTAAGTGTGTGCTCTCTTATCTACAAGGACATGGAATGTTTTAATATGATTACACACACTGTGGGAGCGATATCTGCATATCAGTATTGCAATCTTAATCCTCAACACTTCACACATTCATTCCCTCATATAGGCTGATGGGTTTATCTGTATTACATACTGTTACTGTATGCAGAGTTAGTGCTGGTTCTGTAGGGTGAGTAGATTTCAACTCCAAGGAACCTCAAGGTTTTTATCTCAGTGATATATGCTGATATTAAAAACACACTTTCTAATACCTTAAATGTTCACCAAATTGAGCAAGGTGTTTTTACACTACCAGTCAAAACTTTAGAAACAACTGATTGAATATATGGTTTTCAAAATCTTAATTGAGTTGGGAGGAAGACCATACCTGAAGCTACCTTGCTGCCTTGAGTGAGATGAACTTACAGGGAAACACCTCCACTGCATCTCCTTCCTCTTCCTCAGACCACTGTCAGTCCTCTCTCTGTTCATGAAAGGAGGGTCAGGCCTTTCAACTCAAGCATAAACATAAGTTCTCTTCTCTACAATCTTACGGTCTCTTCTTATATTTCATTAATATATTGAAAGTATTTTACAAACTAGCAAAAAGACAATTTGATTTACATGCTTATGCTTTACTGCTGGTGAGTTGTTACTAAATTCAGTCATATGCAGGTTTTGAACACTGCTGGTCAAATTACATGGTTTATTGATTTACTAAATGAACATATAGCGTCCTCTATAGAGAATAAAACTTAACATTTTTCTGCAAACATTGGTGCACATTTTTTAATTAGCTCAGTATGACATACTGGAAAAAATAAAACATAAAATATAGAACTTGCCATCACTTTTGCACAGGCCACATTTTATGTCATTTTTTCCCCAATATGTTAAATTCAGCAAATGAATAGTAGTTGTGCACTGAAATGTGCAGAAGTGTGTTCTCTGTAGAAGATGTGTTAACTTATTTTCACTTAGAAAATAAACATGTCTTGATGGGGACATCCGAAACCTTTGCTGTTTTACCACTGTATGTTATTTCAAAGTTTGACTTATTCACTTTTACTCTACCATGATTAAAGTAGTAGGCTAAAAGTAAGGAAACTCCTCCTTTGAGTAGGTGTATCTAACCTTTGACTGGTTTTGTGTGGTTTATGTATATATTAGAGTCAGTTTTCTGTAGGTCTGTTAATCAGATTGACAGTTATTGGGCAGTGCACTGTCCATGGTGCTGAAATCAGTAGATGTGGGTCACATTGTCTGTAAAAAATATTGCATTCATGTTTTTATTTTATTTCAATTTTAAAATCACTTACATTTTCACTTACAAAAACTTTTTGTGCTGCAGGACACTGTTAGTATTTTAGCCAAATTTATCAGAAATATAAAAAGAAATGTCACTAACTGTGGACTTCTTAGAGTTAGTCTTTCATTGAGATACCTATACAAGACGTAAATGAAATAGATCTTCCTGTTGGATAAATGACACTTGATGTTATCATAACACTGCTGACGAAAAATCTTTGGACATAATTTATCAAAATAAATATGTATATATGTGTATATAACATAATGGTGTACATATATGTGGATAGTTATTTTATTTTTTAAATAAAGGCAAAGCAGTGTTAAGATACAATCTGTAAAAAAATTGATGTATTTTTTGAAAAAAATATGCAGGAAAGGGTTGACATTGGACAATTTTTAAAGTGTATTTTTACATTTTAAACTGAAAAAACAAGAATAAAAATAGTTCACATAAAAATAATACTAAAAAATAATAAAATAATACCACATCTATGACGTCACTGCTGTGACATCACTACATGACTAAAATCACTAAAATAAAAATTCAAGAAGAAGAACTGTCACAGTTTTTGTTAGTTCATTTAGGAGTAGAACACACAGACATTTAATATATGAGGATTATTTGACACTGCAATGGTAGAATGAACCAGTGTAACAAATTAAACATAACACAAACCGTGTTCTTAACTGGACGTACAGATGTCTGTTTTGAGAATGTACTGGTTCATGTGTGCTATTGAAATAATTTTAATACAGGAATCATATTAGTTGCTGTTGGAACAAAACCTCACATCTCCATTTCTGACATTTTTCCTTTTTTTTGACATAATTTGAAAATGCCAGTTGCTCTTTACATTGTGTTCAAATTTCATGATGAATAAACCAATAGAAACTGTCCAAAAAGTCTTAAATAACAATGTTACATTGACTTCTATTGAAAAATAAGAATGTTTTTTGCCTTCTCCTGGAAAGTTACCAGTTTGGAGGCACAAGGTTTTATTCTGACATAAATGATATCTAGAATAATATTTATAGTACTATTCAAAAGTTTTAGGCATGTAAGACAATTGCACTCCAAAAGCTATTTAACTGAGCAGTAAGTATTTTCTTTGCATTAGAGTAAGTATAAAAAACGTTTTTTTTACAGGTTTTCTTGACTGTTACTGTACACTGACACAGTTCAGAATATCTGAAGCTCAGGTGTAGCAAAACTGAACACTAAACACAGACCTCCATCTTTAATCACAAATTTCATTCAATCTCTCAAGATTATTTTTTCAAAGATTTACATTCATCATTAGTAAATCAACAAAATATGTAAGTTGACCAGGAGTGTTCAAACATGCATATGACTGAAATTGCATTTATGCATGTGACCATAAACAAATGTAGATTATATTATTTTCTAGATTCTTAGTAGCCTGTTTCTGCCTTGTTGTCATTAACATTACAGAGCTTTTCTTAAGTATGCTTTTCCAGTATGAGAGACAAAGTCAAAGTGTCATTTCCCCTTTACATCAAAATATATAATCAACATAATTTAAATAAGTAGAGCTAGACATGCATGTCTAATAATGTATGAAGAATGTATACATATAAGCCACTCAGTAATGTTTTGTATGAACTGGCTAAACCTGCCAACATTCAGCCAATGAGCTTCAAACCAGCAACAACCCGTATACAGCAATGAAGCAAGCTGAAAGAAGAAGAGAGGAAGAAGAGTGTAGGGGGAGAAAACGAGAGGAGCAGTAGAGGAGCAGTCTCTGGTCTGTGTTGGGCCTGTGTGACCCTGTTTGGAAGTCATTCTAGCTTCATTCCAGGGCCTTTTAAGGCTCTCTTTACACCTCCTGCCATATTCGTAATTTCTAAATCTAAATGAAGAAGTTTTTCTGGTTTGGTTTTGGAAGATCTATAAGCACAATGTTCATCAACAGATCAACCTCTATAAAGTTATGGAGGATGCATTTAGGAACATCTGAGTCAGGAACTGCCAGGACTCGAGTAGATTGTATAAGATTTTTAGAACACAGTTCAGATAGACTGTTTGTCTTTTTGTTTGTTTGTTTGTTTGTTTATTCCTTTTTGCCGTGTGAAAACCCTGATTTGTTGTAGAAATTCGTAAGATAGATTGATAGATAGTTTGGCATTTTTAAATGTGAATATTTCATTTTTAGTAGACTGTTCATGGTTTTGTAGCTAGAGCTTCATTTTCCTCTCAGTATGGGGGGATTTGCTAAATGTGTGCAGTGTTTTGAGAATGTGTGTATGTGAGCATTTGGAAGCAGAGACACTGTGTTCTGAAATGGATGTAAGCAATCAAGAAAAACTGTAGTACTATAAGTAGTGATTTTATTTGTGTCAGTGTTTGTTTGACCACATTTGTTGTTAAAATCAGTTATTTAGTTTGGCTCAATCAATACTTCATTAAATTAAATCTGGTGTTTCTGCTTGTGGAATGTAACACATCTTTACGAGGACACTGAGGAAAAATCTGGAACCAAACCTGTGTTCTTCTAACCAGCTCAAAAGATACCAATTACTTCTTTTATAATATTTGTTTACATTTATGTTACCTAATGTTACCTGGTGTTTTTACTAGTAGAAACACATTTGCTGTCCAAATGCTTTTAAACAGTTTGCTTAAGTGCCAAAGAATATTGCACAGCACTGTACAGCATTCAAATTACCACATTTATTCCCTTTTTACTGTATTTTTCTGGAAACTTCTCGTCTTTCTGCCACCCCTGTTCTTCTTGGATTCTGCTTTGTTCCATTCTGCGTTTTTCCTCTGCTCCTAGCTCTCCTTTTTACTCATCACTTGATCCTTTGCTAAATGCAGTGGTTTCATACAGAGGTTTTATGAGGCTCCCTGAACATTAATATTCTCAGTCACAACAGAATTTATTCCAAGTTTTGAAGCTAGTTTGAAACCCTGGCAGCAGCTGGAGAATATCTCAGACACAGATGGCTCTGTGTGTGTGTGGTTGTAGGAGTGTGTGTATGTGTGTGTTTGATGTGACAAGGGGTTTCCCATGGTCTGCTTTCGTACTGAGATGGCAGATGGTACCAGACGCACGCGCACACATACACACACGCATGCACACTTGCGTTCACACACTCACGCACATCCACACACACACAACACACGCATAATCTGTGTTCTTCATTTCAAATGCTGTTTTTTCCATTTTTTCTCTTTCTTTTCCTCTGGCTGAAAGACCAAACTCTAAAATGTCCAAATTAATTTAACACACAAGTGCTCAATTAAAGGTTAATCACATCCTTGTCTTATGATCACTATCACTACTGCATAGCCTCAAGCAGACTCTTCTCTTCTGTTCTCTCCTCTCCTCTGCAATCCTCTCCTCTCCTCTCCTCTCCTCTCCTCTTCTATCCTCTATCTTCTGCGCCTCTGTTCTCCCCTTCCCTTCCCTACTTGTAAGTGGTCAGACCATCAAAGAGCTTCATTCTCACTGTTCACAGTTCACTCCTATGATATAGTTCCTTTTTTTTTTTGATGTGTAGCTGTTTTCTCCGCTCTAATATTGCTTGTCTCTGGCTGATTTTTTATATTTATAATTAGCTGCTGCATATTACTGAAATTAAATTACAGCCACAGGCTTTCGGGATATTTTTCACTCATCGGATCTTTGAGACACATCTGG